AAGATTCTGAAAGGATCAGATGTGTCTATATGGATTCGAAACATTCAACTAGCACTTCCGTCCATATTCTTCGCTTTGCTGTTTGCTTTTGTAAGTTTTTTTTTACTTACTCATAGGTCTATATCCATTTTGGCCAAGTTTGAGGCGATAGCTGCAGCTCGCGCGCTGTCGCGGCACGGCGTAAGGTCGAGGTATATAGTTCGCGAATCGAGCGTTGCGCCAGCGAAGTCGAACGTTGCACCAGCGAATCGAACTTTGCGCCAGCGAATCGTTATGTACCAGCGAGTCGAACTATGTACCAGCGACTCAACACTGTTTGAAAGGCGGGACCCAACGTTTAAAGGAAGTCCGCCACTTTCAAACAGTGTGGTCCTTTGAAGTGGACTTCCTTTGAACGTTGGGTCCCGCCACTTTATTGAGTCGCTGGTACATAGTTCGACTCGCTGGTACATCGTTCGACTCGCTGGTGCAAAGTTCGATTCGCTGGTGCAACGTTCGATTCGCTGGCGCAACGCTCGGATCCAGCGATTCGCTAGCGAATCGCTCGATTCGCAAACTATGACATCGGCCTATCGAATAACGTGGTGACGTAATGGTGCGTCGACTCAGTTCACTTAGATGTCGGTCAGACTCTGCGACTACATCGCGCGATGCAAGGCATTTTGGATTTTTTCTCCTGGAGTTGTTCTCGCAACGCCATTCGCAAAACAGCTGTGTAGAAATATCCCCGATTTCATTCATTTATACTGTAACAACGAAGGGATGTATTCTCAAAATCTTTTCTTAGGTGAAAGACAACAGCGTCATATTTGCCGATGGTATTGCTCCAGAGGCCGTATGGGGTCGTATGCTGTTTGGATTCGATTGGGCTGTATGGGTTACGATCGCCATCTCGGCGTTCGGAGGTCTCGTAGTCGCCGTTGTCATCAAATTCGCCGATAATATTTTGAAAGTATGATTTTTGATTTTGATTCGTTTTTTTCGATTTTAAGAGGAAGATACACCGCAATTGTAATTGAACAGGTTGTTGCTTTCACGACTGCATGATACAAATGTTGAAGAACAGTTTGAGGTTCCAAAAATTTATATCAAAAAGTTTCAAAAGACTCACTCTCGAAAACTTCCCAAAATGTCTTGCAATATTTCGGTGTTTAACACCTTCGTCCAGTCTGAATTAATAGCACTTCTTGCTGAAATCGGACGATATGCGGGATATATTGAACTAACCCACACGCGTTTGCCTCAGTAAAATTCAAGTTTACCCGACGGAAAATGATCCATTGGTCTTATGGTTAGCTCGAGTTCGGTTTGCCTCTCACTAGGAAAGTCTTTCCGAACATAGAGCACTTTTTCACAACGGTTTTTTGCTTATTGTAGAGGTACGTGCGTGGAGCATAAAACTGATAATAATTTTTCTTGAGCGGTCCTGGGATTGCCTCTGCAGCATTTGCAGCGTTGGATAGTTGCACATTAGCAGTTTTTGTCCAGTGAAAGTTTAGACACGTGTGGGCGCAAGAAAGTG